AGTGTCAGCACCACAGTCCAGGATGAGACAACGAACATCCAAGAATACATTGGGAAGATGGCCCCAACTGACCGAGTGCTCAGTGAATACCTCAGGCAGCAGAAACCCAAGAAAGAGGAGGGAGACGAGGAACCATCATGGAAGGACAGGCCCCTGCACGGTATGTACCACCGGCAGATAGAGGAGGTGGCTGATATCCAGAAATCCTACCAGTGGCTGGACAAAGCTGGACCGAAAGTATATTGACCCATTGGCCCTGCTCTGTGTTGAACTGGGAGCCAGTGAAGTGCCATCAGTACTGCAGTAATGTGGTCACATGTCTGCGTACCTGTTAAGATTCTGGCGAATGAACTTCAGTCCATCGAACACAATGTGTCGGTGATCTCACGCGCTGGATACGAAAACATGGACGGAGACAGGAATGATCGAAACTTAGATGTAGTTTGATGTGATAGAAGGCAGCTCTGGTGACCTTACTGATGGATGTGTGTCAAAGGCAGAGATGACAAACGTGAACACATTTTCTGTGTGTGAGGTTTTGCACCAACAACAAATATTTGTCTCATCTCTGTTCTTAGACAGTTTCATCCAGCAGTTACAGTACGTGACCAGCTCAAAGGTTTGTGAGATCATCAGAGGGGAGTGTGTCACCTATGGTCAGGTGTATTACGATTCATGTAAAGCTTAGACAGTGACAGACTGACCCTCTCTGAATCTTATAAACAAAACAGCAGAATCAGACCAACTATTGTTGATCTTTTGTCTATTTTCTCTGACGATGATGATGAAGAAGAACATGTGTGCGGATGATGTAAAGTGTGTCTCGGTGCTGCTCTCGTATTCAGGACGTCTCTGCTCATGAACAATTCATCGACAACAGCGAGAACAAAGCAGCTGCAGAAGAAGAAGAACGGCGTCTCCGCTCAGCAAAATAAAAGCCTCTAAAAGGCTTTAATGTCTCCTTTGATTTTTTTACTTCTGACACGGTTTCTGCTGGGACGTTTCCACGCCGACGGCAACAAGAAGAAACCCGAGTGAGGAACGTTTCGCAAAAACTTCAGCTTCACAAACACATTTAACTGTCAGCGAAGCCCCGCCGGCGGCGCCCACCAAGTAAGACCGCAGGAGGCCACACGCCTTCATCCTTACGACCACGAGGAAGATCAGAACATCTGACAGACCGTGGAAGCTGAACGCAGGAAACATTCTCACCGACTCAGCGGCCAAACATGCAACACAAAACTTTATTTGTAAGCACAGTCAGAGCAGATCAAATGTGGACAAACTCGGTGGAGGCGGGTCATAAACGAGCTCATCATCGATCCGCTCCCGCCCCGTGAAGCTGGCAGCTGGTCGCTCTAACCAGCTTGTACCCAATTAATCAATCCTGCGCTGTCATTGGTAGTTTCTCTCTGAACCCGCCCACTTCACAAGCCTAATTCACTTCCTGTGAATCGCTGCCAGTGTGGGCGTGGCGCCATGCTCCAGGGTCAGATTGACTAATTGGGGAAAATGATCATGTGACTGCGACCTTTATTAGCAAACACAAGAGGGTCATGAACAAGTGGGCGGAGCTTCACTTGACTAGCCTGGGATTTGTGCATCAGCTTGCCCGGTGATATTGATAACGGTAACGCGGTGTGACATCATTTATAACGAGGTCCCGACCAATCAGCATACAGATGCTTGTGGCATGGATGCTCACGTGTGACGCCGCAGGAATTTACGTCAGAGGAAAGAATCAGACTCACAGAGAGCAAACAGGAAGTCGGCGGGTCCACTGAAGGATCTGCAGACACACCTGAAGGACCTCACTGACTCCAGATCAGAAGCACACAAACACAGAGAGACCGCCAGGTTCTGCTGAGGTTCTGCAGGTCCGGTGAACGAGCTGAAGACGAGCAAACTGCAGGTGGAGGTGAAGATGGAGGCTCTGCAGGGTGAGGCTGTTTGTTTGGGTGGAGGAGGAGCTGCCGTGTGGTGTTTCGGGCCTTCGGGACAAAGATTTTCCGCTCAGAATACTTCAACATGAAGATGATGTGAAACAATTCAGGCGGAGCCGGCGAGGACAGAGGGACGACAGCGGGCCGGGGAGCGGGGAGGAGGTGGGAGGAGGCGTGGAGGGCCTGAGGGAGAATCTAAAACAGCGTTTAGCACTCGGCTGACCTTCACTCGCTCCTCGCACTCCTTCCTCTCTCCTTGTTCTTTCGCTCCGTTTGCTCTAAACAGCTTCCACTCGTTTAACCGAGCCTCGGGAGAGAGACGCCGTCTGCACGCCGCCTGTCTCACCATCAGCTGACCTCTGACCCCTGAAATCACAAAGAGCTTCCTGTAAAGGCTCATTCCACTGATTTCACTGCTGATACCTGCAGACAGCGAGCTGTGGATGAGAACACCTCCTGAACAGCTGTTTCCATCTCTGAGGATCACTCCTCCTCCTCCTCCTCCTCCTTTTCTTCTTCTTCACATCTAATTCATGCGCTCACACCGAGCTGCAGATACCTGCAGCAACATACGAGCTCGACATCTGTCGGCAGCTCATGACGCAGAGAACCCGGAAACAGCTACAGCTGCTGGTTCTGCTGGTTGTTCGTGGCGGAGCTCGTCTGTTTTTGCAGTTATTAAACGTCTGCCTTCGTCTGTCGATCCTCTCAGAGCTACACGGTCTGATACTTGTCTGTGATCCTCTTCATCGCTCCGCTCAGGTCAGGTGAACAGTCTTCATCACTGTATGACAACGTCGGCGATCTTCTCGGCTGTTTCAAAATGAAGCTGCTGTTTCACATCACTGTGTGTCAGGCTGTCACTCACCGATCTCTGGTTTCACTTTTTAAAACTCTGGTCTCGGTCTTTGAATGCGTCACCTGAGCCTCACAGATTCTTCAGCCCAGCCAAACTCACTCGCGCTGCTCTGCCGCCACCTGCTGGACACTTTCAGCCTTACGCCGAGCAGCTTTTTAAAGCCGACACAGGAAGTGACGAGATCAGTTCTGTCCTCTGGTGTGTGCTTTCAGTGTTGGACTTCTTTAAAGCATTTTATAGACCTGAAAATATTATTTCAGTGCCGTAAAAAGGAGAGCCGTCTCCCTGCAGTCAGGAACAACTGTTAAAAGGAACACATCAGCCCTCTTTTTACTCGAGCAGCTGAATTACTCGAGAGATAAAAACAGGAAAATAGAAATATCACAATTACCACATTATTAATATCATTATCACGGGTCATTAGCAGGCGACACAGATTGATTTAAAAAACCTTCACAAGCATCTGGTCTGCATGTAAATGTGGAGAAATGCATGAAAACACCGAAAGCACCGTACTCGATAAACATGAAGTCAAACATTTACAGCTTTCAGTGAAAATCACAGTGACGACAGATAAACACTCAGTGTGTTTTACCAAAGAATAAATAATATTAACTACTGTCATTATAACTTATTCATATTTTGTTACTACGTCCAAGCTGCCTGTTCTCTCTGCCTCCCTCCGGTCTGTTATTTCCTCCTGCTGTCTGCTGTTTATGTTTTATTCATGCACGATGTCATTGTATGACAGTAAAGGGCTATTCTATTCTATTCTATTCTATTCTATTCTATTCTATTCTATTCTATAAGAACAATGGATCGAGAGATTCATTTATCCAACAATTGATTGAAAAGCATCAAAAATGAAATATTAAAAGGAACCAAAGTCGTTAGAATTTCATTTGGAACAATAAACATGACAATGAAGTCCAGTAGAAGCAGGAAGTATGACTGTACTTGACTTTGAAGTAATGAAAGGTGTCATTAAGTTTAAGCTGCACATATGTAATGAAAACGTGCGTTTGTGCAGAGGTGTGTGCCTCGGTCCACAGCACTGTCTGGAAGCACAGCCAGGTTCTAAAGGAAGAGTTTGGACCAGGGTCCATGTCATGGATGGAAAGGTTCGACGTCATTCTGCTTTTAAGGACGCGTTTAAAGTGAACTGCTCTCTACTAACCTGCTAGCTTTAACGAAAGGATCATTACAGTATTCGTAACACAGATTTTTCCTCATCTGAGAATTAAAGATTGCAACTTTCTGGACAATAGAAGTAAAAACAAAATGCATGAAACGATGTTTTCCTCTTCCTGTGAAAAGAAATTTACACTGGAAAGATTTACAATCGTGGAGATGATCAGAATACCAAATATGTGACGTTTGAAAGTTTTCTCCAACTTTTCCTGCCTTTAAAAATGTTGCAGAAGAAGAAGGCCTTAAAAGTGTCAGAGGGACCAGCAGCATACGTGCAAGATAATTGTAAATAATTAAATAGAGTTTATTTATGTATTTCAGGACTGCTGCTTGGGTTGCTTGATGAACATGTTTGTAACTTAAAGACTGTTCAGTAAAAATAAATAAATAAATCTTTTCAATTCTCTTCGAACCTCGCGAGACAATCACCTCACCTTAATTGGATGGTCTGCCTCACGTCACAGTATTTGAAATTGAGGCGATCCTAAAAATGTCAAATCAACACGCGAAACGTCAACAAGTTCCGCTTCAAAATAAAAGTAATGTGCCGTTTTATTTTTTTCTTCGTTTCTCTTTTTAACCTTGAATGATAAGCCTTTATGTTAGACTTACACATGTATGATTTTATTTGATTTAAGTTTGTGTTTCACGTTTGGCTGCTGTGATGCAGGAAAGTGATAACTTTCAGGACTTTGAAGTTTATCTAAATGGAGTGAACATACACACTAAAATGTGTAATTATTATAAAAACACAGTAAAAATATAACATTTTCTTTTTAAAATTTCAAAATCAGATGACTTTTCTTCTTTTTAGGGTTCAAGAAAAAGAAGAATCATTATGTGTTCACACAACAGATTGTTATTTGGTAGCTCTCAGCACAGAAGAGACACCGCCTTTTACACACGCGCGCGCGCGCACACACACACACACAGATATTTGAACATATATATAAACATATTCAGATACACACACAAAAATAAGGCGGAAGCGAAACCGTCAGTGCTTTTATTGTGAAAAGCTGTTTCCGTGTCATACCGGAAGCGGTGGGCTTGATGCTGAGAGCTTCATGTTGCCGGTCAGCAGAAGGTCAGCCAACAGCAGCAGCAGCAGCGGATAGTTGTCGGTCAGGTAGCACGAAGTTAACGATCGATCGGTTAATCGGCTCCGTTTGTGCTCTTTGGGCGGGAAACCGGCAGCTTCCGGTCAGTGTCTACCAAACTAATGCTAACAGGCTAACTATTAGCTGCTAGCATGCAGTGCGCGCACCCCATGAAGAAGAGAAGTCTGGAGGCGGAGCCGCGCAACTCCAAAGCGGTAAGACACCTGAGGAGGAGGAGGAGGAGGAGGAGGAGGAGCAGTTTATTAGGAGTAGCCGGGGTCATCAGAGTTTTTGGACAAAAACAGTAATAACTTTATTTAAACAGTTTACAGAGACACGAGCCAAACAAAAACCATAGAAGAAGAAACATCAGCGAAATAAGAGAACTACAAAATATAAAAACTACAAAGTGACATCAGTCCTGAGCCTCTTCAAGTATATCAAGTACATCTGCAGGAACATCTGCAGCTTCTCGGGTGCTTGGAGCTCTTATTTGAACCTTCAGATGTGGCTCTGTTCCTCTGATCTTCGTACCTCAGCCTTTCCTCCTCGTTCCCTTCATTAAGAACGGCTTCCTGATGGGCTAAAGGTCCAAATCATCTCCCGGGTCCTGTGTCGGGTCTTCAGAACCCGTTCCTCTGCTGTGGAGATTTTAGGCCTCACACTTCTTCTTCTGTCCAGCTTTCTAAGAAGTCGAAGCGCACCACGCTGAGATAAGCAGAGCTTTCAGCTGACAGCTCTCTGGGAGTCGCACTTTCTCCCTCTCCCTGATCTTTCCTGCTTGGCTTTCATGTTTCTTGTATAGTCTCGCTTATTCTCTAACCCTAAGAGAGTCTCCCAGACTTGTTCTCTAAAAACCTAAAGAACAAATATGGATTTGATCAACTGGTCCCTTAATGGAATTGACACCCTTGGGAGAGCCCGATTGTCCTGCGGAGACGTTTGCTGCTGGATACTCGATGGTCGGTTGCGTCGTGTGTCTGATGACACTTGATGGAGGACAATGAACGACATCTACCAATTCAGAACCACGATAACAGAGTTCTGGCTGATTGGAGCTGGCTCAGCTTATTGAAGAACAAGAAGCGGCCGACATGACAGACGATGGGCAGGGCTGTGAGTAAGACTGTGTTTATTGAACGCAATATGGATACGATCTTGGAGAAGAACGGGAATTGAGAGACCTGGTGACCAGTGACGGACATTAGACCAACTGTAAAATTGGAAGCAGTTTGTTTGCACCAAAACAGCTGCCATCTCCATCATGAAGGTGCTCAGGGCACAAGCTGACGGGAATAACAAAACTCTCCTTTAGATAATAAGACTGTTTGTTGTGACTCTCTCCCTCCTCATTCAAGCCCGCGTCAACCGAAGATTGTTGACTTTTGCTTAACCTTTCTCTCGGCTGAACACACGCATGCACACACATGCACACATGTGCATGTACACTGACACAGAGCTTCATGGATTCATTAAAGAAACGGGAACGCTGACGTGTTTCTGTGACAGGAAACAACGGGTCAGAGGGGACGTGAGACGCTGCATGTAGAGGTAACTCTGTATGTGAAGTTGGGGTTTTGAAAACATGTTTAGCACAATCTTGTGTTGGTACAACTGTTTGCTTGTGTTGGGAACATTTTGCTTTTTGCATAAAGTTGGCTGATGGCAGCACGTGAACATCTGCTTTGCAGGCTCGATGAGGAACAGCTGCAGACTCCAGCATGTCGGTCTGACACAGTCCTCGTTTATAAAGTGCGTTACAAACACCAGCATCACGGCCAACAGCTGGATGTTCCTGTTTGAGTGCAGCCAGCCAAACAGCCACTTCCTGTTTACAGTTTATCCTGGTTTAACATGGACTCACTGCTGCAGCACCACAGTGATCCCCTCACACTGCTGTTTACTTTCCTCAGGTATAACATAAACTAATGTGAGCCTGTGAGCCCGGCCAACCAACCGCGTGACGTCACGCTCCGTGCTGACAGAAGATGCCGCTGAACATGTTTTTAACACTTAAAGCACTGATTTCTTAAAGCCAGCGTCACAGACAGAGTGACAGCTGTGGGAGTGTCTGAGAGCAGGTCCGTGGGGTAAAGGAGGTGTGCAGCACTGCGTGTCTCCGGGTCGGGTATGAAAACTGAGGGCTGACGGAGGCCACTCAGTGACTTCTTCATGACCTCTGTGGTTGCGTGCTGTACTTCTGGATTACCAAAACACAAGTTTAGAAGGAAAGTGACACACCTGCTTAGCCCCACCCCGTCAGTGAGGTCACAGTTTCAGGTGAGGTCCTCAGGTGTGCTGATGGTGCTGATGTTGGGTTTTTTTTTCAGAAGCGGCTCTGTTTGGAGGCGGAGCTCCAGATGTCCGACTGTCCAATGGAGACGTCGCAGAGCAGTCCTGCGACCAATCAGCAGCCGGATCAACAGGTGAGCTCGTCGAGCTTCCTCTGACTAACACAAGATGTCATTAAGATGTGAGGATCAGAGGTCAGCTTCAGATAAACGTGGTGGAAAGTCCTCACCGTGTTCAGCTGGAGGACAGGTGTACAGGTGCTGTTGCTATGGTGACTTGTGTGTGTGTATGCAGGTACGGCCCACACCTGTTCTGCTCTGCTGTCCGAGGTGTCTCAGAGGAGAACCGGTAAGACGCCGAACTCACGAAACATTTAAGCCCTGCCCCCTGTGGAAGCGAGGCTTACAGAGTCGTCTCTGTGGCTCCGTGATTGGCTGAGAGCCTCAACGGTGTCTTTTTGCCTTTTCAGGGTCACTTCAACCACATCATGGGCCTCTGAAGCTCCACCCATTCTCCTGCAACCAGCCGTCCAATCACATTGATGCTTCAGGTGCTTTACTAAAATGGTGCTGCTGGAAGATGTCATCAAGGCCCCACCCCACCTTCACATCGTTGTCAAGGAGACGGTTTAACGTTTCCATCCAGTGATGCATTCAGGACCAGCAGTACTCCTCAGACTTAAGTTCTGAAATCTCTGATGTCCTTGTGTCCCTGAACACACCACTGAGTGTGAGCGTTTACCTGAGCTTTAACCCCACCCCCTCTCCTGTGTGATATGTGCAACAGTCCAATCAATGATCAATAACTGTGATTGACGTGGTGGTGCGTTCACTGTCTCCGTTTAAAGGGCTTTCACACGTTGAAGACTTGTGATGTGTTTACAGGAAAAATGCCAGTAGAATTTTTTTAAACTCCAGTATAGAACCGACTGAAAGGCTTAACGAGGTGTTAATAAGAGTTTACTGTAAGGGGAAGGAAAATCCATGTGGTTTTTCAAAATAAGAGTCTTCGTGTCTGTACATTTCTATTTTTCTGAGGCAGATTTGTATATTTTTTACTCTGAATTTGACTGAATGTAAAAGCAGCTCCCTATTTTTGATGACATCACTTCCGCTATCTGAGGCCAGCATTTGTACTGATTTCAGAATAAAAGCTTTGACTGTGAACAGCTTTGTCCCCCTTTTCTTTTGACTAAACCAACAAACAAGCTGAAGCGAGGAGAACAGTGATGATGGCAGCTGGGGCGTTTCAGAGAGCACGGTGGTGCCTTTAATGGTCAACGACCTTTGACCTTCATCGTGCTGGAGAAGTGTTGATGCTCTAGATCTCAGCTGAACATCGTATGTTTAAAGAGCTCTGACTGTTTGTCAGCCTGGCTACAGTGCTGAAGAGAAACCTGGGGTTGTTCTTATTTTCTTCAATCAGTGATGAATAGTAAGATGTTCTGGCTTTGTGGAGGGCTTTCTTATAAAGCAGCAAACTATTTCTCCAGGCTAAATGATGATCCTCTAGATTTGTGACACGCCATTTCCTCTCCAGATTACGAGTCATCTGCTTTAGGCTACGTGTTTGAGAATTATACCACGGAGTCAGGTACTTCTGATTAGAGACCTTAGTTTTCACTGGAGCTACAGTATCCAGAGTCGTACGTAGTGAGGAGGTGAAATTATTAACAAGATAATCGACCTCTGTTGGGGTAGCGTTCAGATAGCTGCTCTGCTCTGTGTTGGTACAGGGCATTGGAGATGATAACAGTGGGTGGATTATATTCTTAAACTTAGTTACAGCTCTTTCAGAAAGACATCTACTGTCATCTTTTCCTAAATGTATTTACAGGGAAAAGACTTAAAGTTCATGAAACTACAGTTAGAAAAAGACTAAACATGTAAGGCTTGTTTGGAGGAAACGCAGGAGAAAGGGTCTTCCGTCTAACATGCAAACCTGGGTTTGGAAAGCGTTTTGGAACAAACCTCGTCCATAGTCTAAGGAGCTGGGACTGGACCCGTTTGTCCTGAATGCACAGCAGGGTTCGAACCCCTCACACGAGCCATCAGCACGGTGGATGATGATCCGAGAGCAGCGTGAACTCCTCTGCCCACCAAAGCATTCTACATTCGGAGGCTGTCTGTCCCACAGCTGACGCTTGGACCAAACCGGGTCATCAACAGGACGATGACCCAAAAGAAAAGAACAGGGCTGCTGCTACGGTCCAGTCAGAGCTCAGAGAGCCGTGCATGAATGAACGCTGCAAACCTCGATGAGATGAAGCTGAGTGAACCACAGCAAACCATTAATGCTGATGATAATGGAGCTTCTACAAGCTGCTGAGTCACAGTTTGGTCCTCACAGAGCTGCACAGTCCAAATTTCCATATGATTGTAAATAAAAACCAGTTTCATCTGCATATAAATGGACTTTTTGTTTGAATTGTTGGGGAGCACAGAGGATGGAAGCAGAGGCCCTGCTGCACAGAGACAAATGTGAATTCTTCAAACTGTTTATTAAACTCAGAGTTTTCTTTAAACTGTCAGCAGAAACAAAAAAAACATCAACAATTTGAAAAAAAAGGCAGGAGAAGAAACCGGAGTTGGCCCGCCCTCCTCCACTGTATGCCCCACCCTCCACCGCTATCGGCCACGCCCCCTACACAACTGACAGTCCCCTCCTCCTCCGATGTCGGTCGTTCTCGCGGTCACGTTGGTTTGGCTCTCTTGGCTGCTGGAGTTTCACCTGTTCGGGTAGAAACACACCTGGTCAGTTACCTGTTTATCTTCAGCACTGATGACACAGCTTACAATCAGTACTCCGAAGCCCACTCGGTGGTACACAGGACCCCACTCTGGGTTCCGGTTATGTTGCTACACGCTGGAACATTTAGAAGTTGCCATCCAGAGAACACATCCTGGACATGTCCTCCTTTCTGACCACAGAATGACCAAACTTTGAATAAAACAAACGTCTGTTTCCAAGAGCGACCATCTCAGGGCCGGGGTCATTTCCTCTGATGCTGTTATTGAGGTTGTGCAGACGTGGCCATTGATCACATGACGTTCGGCCGTCCGTCAGTGTTGGACTGAAGCTTCAGTCACACGGGCTTAGAGACGACCGTCTGTGGGGGAAATGAGTATTCCTGACCGTGAGTCCCGCTGCAGCCGGCTCAGGTCACTTCTTCAGGAAGAAATGTTTCAATAAACCCGAACATCCAGGTGACATTCAGGACGGACGTCCAGCACATGGACATGTCTGATATCAGCCAGTTTCAAGAGGTGTTTGACTCGCTCATCATCACTTTATTCCACCGCAGCTCAATCGCCACAGAGCACAAACATCTGTAACATCTGTAAAGATAACCGGACTTAAACCTACCGTCTACTGAGCCCTGTGGCGCCTCCTGCTGGCTCCTCGTGGTGTAGATGATTCCGCTGGCTGTCCTCCTGGTTTCTGACCACAAACAAACAAAGTGTTTCCTGAGAGGGTTCATGCTCGCTCACAGGTGGAGGTGCAGCACCGGGTGCTCACCTGCATGCAGCAGAGCGGCTCTGCAGGTGGACGAGACGGCTTCTTTGGCGTCTCCGTCTGACAAACCGAACAGCAGAGCTCTGAGGAGGAGCATCAGGACCACAACACCACACACAGTAACACACGCAGTAACACACGCAGTAACACACGCAGTAACACACGCAGTAGTACTGCAGTAACACGCACAGTAGTACTGATGAAGGATACAGGTTGGTGACATCATACGGTCCTCTGAGCTCGAGAGCCTGCAAACAAAAATAAGCGTACTGAGCACGGCCACCAATCAATCAGCGATCAATACAGTCACTGATCACTGACCTTCTGAGCTGCACTGGACAGAATCACACTCTGAGAAAAAACACAAACACAATTTAGTCACGTGACAGGAAGTTGAGTGGTTGGTACAGGAAGCATTGGAGAAACAGCGCCACCTTTCCCTTGCAGCTCTCCATCAGACTGACGGCGTTGGCGATGGTGTAGCGCCTCATGGTGGAGTCTCTGATGGCTGCAGAGTACGACACCTCGAACACCACACCTCTGTCTATGGCCTACACACACACACAAACACACATTAATAAACAGTCACGTGACGGTCGCAGTAATAATCTGGGTCACGATGCTCGGTCACCCCGTTGATCGGCGCTCTCTTGAAGAAGAAAGGAAGTTTCTCCGTCATCGGCACACAGATGATGTCGATGTCATAAACCATGCAGGCTGCCTGCACACACACACACACACACACACACACACACACACACACACACACACACACACACACACACAGGGTTACATTACATGCATATGAGAGGTTTTGGAACTGAGCATCCAATCATGGTGCTGATGTGTGTATATTGTGTGTGTGTGTGTGTGTTACCACACAGCAGTGTTATTTTTACGCAGTGTTCAGGTGCAGCACGAAAAGCCAGATTTATTTTAAAAGTGTGCAAATAAAGCTGATGAAGCAGAAAGTCCTGCAGTCAGTGAACACAGCACAGTGTTTGCGTGTCAGTGAAGCTCACGTGGAAAAGTTTCTCTGAGGTTGGCTGGACAGCGAGCAGGTCGAAGCGACGGTACTCCGGAGCGTTCGGCCTCTGAAAACACACACACACCAAACCATGAATCAGGTTGTCACCCTTCAGATTATCATCCTGTAACCATGGACACGGCTGATGTAATCTGGAATCTCTTTAATTCAACTTTAGCAGAAACCACGGTTGCCTCTAACCACTCGAGTAATCCTGTAATCCAGATATTTAAAATGTACTTTACAGCTGACACAGGCCCCGCCCCCTCAGCACCCTGCCTTACAGATTGATTATGAAGACGTGATCGATGAGTTTACAGGTTTATGAAACGTCGGAGTTTACAGAACTCACAAAGTGACTCGCGTCTGACATCACCACCGTCAGCCTGTTCAGCACTCTGATTGGACGAGATCGACCCTGCACCACGGGCAGCTGATCGATCAGTTCGTCAATCGGAGTCGGGGTGGGGATCTCCTGCAGGAAGGAAGTGACACAAAATAAACATCTGAAGCTACGGATGCTTTTTGTTAAAAACTAGCCACAGATGTTTTATTTATTGATTGCTAATCAGACAGGTTCAACCTGAATATTAATTCCACAGTTTCTGTGCTGTTCCTGAACGCAGCGCAGCAGGTGCACTCACCTGTTTCTTCTTGGCTGTGGGCTCAAATACGTAGTTGAGGGCGATGGTGGAGAACCCGACTGCAGGAGGACAGAAACACATGTGTGAGGGCTGGAAGGTTTTCATCGTGCGATGCAACGCATCTGAGCAGGAGGCGGCTGATAATCACTGACAGCTGCATCAATGTCACGGACACACTCACAGCAAGAGGAACCTCTAAAACGGCCCGTTTTTTGAATGGAGTCTGGTGTAAACGCTGCTCACAGATTACATCTGCACCTTGGCTTACTTGATGCTGAGTCAGATTTCTGCGTTAAATCTTTTTCATTTTGTTTCAACTAAACTCGTAAAACCGTTAAAAGTTGCAGATTTTTGAATGGAGTCTGGTTTGGCTGTTGTTTGTTGTTTTGGGTGTAAAGCTGATCATTGAAACTTGACTGACAGGACGTTTCACTAATAAAGTGACCGTGAGAGGCTGAAGACATCAAACCCTCCTCAGTGACAGGTGGAGGGCATCAGAGAGGAGGTGAGACTGGTTCAGGTGTTACTGAGAGATGAGATCAGTGAGGATGAGGACATGAGAGAGCAGAGGAGGGTGAGAGCAGAGGTAAGGAGTGAATGTGTTGTTCACCAGATTTACACTGCAGGTAAAACTCCTCCCCCTACAGCCTTACCTGTAGTCAGCCTGCAGTCCACAGCCACACCCCTTCCCCACCTGTCACTTTCACTCACAACCAGGTTCAGAGACAAACGAAAAGACTCCACTCAGCCAGGTCTGCTGGACCAGCCGGCGAGCACCATCAGGCCGACCCTCCTGGGTGATCAGCTAACAGTGATGCAGGTGGATTCGCTGGTGTCCTGGATTGTTGTTACCTGTTGTTACAGGAAGACCACAATATGTGCGTCTTCCACAGTGTGTGTCTGACAAGGTGATCGGCACCACAGGGGACCGTCCTCTCCCCCTCCACCCTCTACACCACAGACTTCAGCCACTGCACACAGACCTCCATCATCAGAAGTTTTCTGATGACTCTGCGGTGGTTGGATGCATCAGTGAGGGTGATGAGTCAGAGTACCGGGCTGTGGTCGACTCCTTTGTGACGTCACACAGAATCATCTGCAGCTCAACGTGGCAAAGACCAAAGAACCGATTGTGGACTTTAGGAGGACCAGGAAACCTGTGACCCATGTTTCAATCCAGCGTGAGGACGTTGTGGAGGACTAGAAATACCTCAGAGTGCACATAGATAATAAACTGGACTGGGCTAAAAACAGCACTGCCCTCTACAGGCAGGGCCAGAGTCGTCTCTGAGGTCCTTCAACATCTGCCAGACAACGCTCAGGATTTTCTACGAGTCTGTTGTGGTCAGTGCATCCTCTGTGCTGTTGCACACCGGGCCAGCAGGTTGAGGGTTGCAGAAGCCGACAGACTCAATAAACTGATCACAGGGCCAGTAATGTTGTGGGGAGGGAGCTGGTCTCCCTCAGGGTGGTGTCTGAGAGGTGGATGTTGTACAAAATAAAGACAATACTGGACAATACCTCCCACCCACTCCATGACATGCTGGCCAATCACAGGAGCACGCTCAGTGAGAGACTGAGATTATCCATAACGCACCTGCATCTAACACACTGTGATAGTTACAGCCTCACTATCGGCACACACAGAGGAACGAAGTCCGCAGGACAAGAGGGCAGCTCAGTGTTAACACTTATACATTTACTGTGTGTAACTGATTATGGAGCTGTTTGTTCTAAGCTGTACTATGTTACTTAGTTCAGTGTGTTACGGCTCTGACTCGGAACAACTGCGACCACATAATTAAAATCATCAGTCTCTCGGGAATAGAGGGTACAGACTTTAGTTTACATTTCTGCAAACCGCGGAGAAACCTTAAAATGACTGTTTTTGAATGGAGTCTGATGGAAAACTTCTTGCCTGCCCTTTTCCACCAGACTCCATTCAAAAAACAGTCATTTTTAAAAGCCGCTGGTCCCGGAGACAGGAGCGTTACGTTCCCGCGGCTGAGCAGCGGCAGGCCGGCGAACAGAGCGTTGTCTGCGGCCGCGGACACTCACGGTGAGCCGCCGTCTCCACGACGCTGCGCAGGTCGCTCCTGTCCGGGAGAAACGACACGTTCAGGTCCATAAACACAGCCATGATGCCTCCGTCCGCCGTTCCACCACGTGTGCGCAGCCGCAAAGATTGCTGGGAACAGCAGTCCTCACGTCACAGCCGGAAGTAGCATTAAAGTCGTTTTTACCGCACTGATAGTGATGGGAATTCAGGATCTTTTTAGAGAACTGGGTCTTTCGGCTCCCAATGGGCTCTTTGGGTTGTTTTGTTGCTTTAATTAATTTATTATCATCAACAATATATAAATATGCACAAAAGGAATTACTAATGTTAAAAAAACGTGGTTTTATTTATTTATGTTTATATATAAATATATAGGGTGGCCCCTAGAGACAAAGCAGAGGGAGAAAGAGAGCCAAGGACAACAACAAGAGACAACATCGTCACATTAGAAAGGTATAGTAATCATCCACAATTATTTTCAGTTGCAGATGATAAAGGATTCAGAAAGTTTATTCATGCAGTGAATAAAGGAGTGAATAAATAAAAGTATATTTACGGTGGCCCCTAGAGACAAAGCACATACAAGCTCCAAAACACATTTCTAGCGTTAACTGAACTTCCAAAACAGAGCTACCTGGATCACTTAAATTACACAATTGAAAGCATATGTGTATTGTTTGGGTATGTAATAATAATAAAAAATAATAATAATAATAATATTTTTAAAAAATGTTCATTTACCTGTGACTTCACACCAAATCCGGTCATTGGTACTTCCTGGCTTGTGTAGCCAGTAGGTAACAAAAGCTCAACACTGCCCCCTAGCATCCTGGAGCACATCTGTTGTGATTTTACATGTTTTGGAGTTTGTACGTGTTTTGTCTGTAGGGGCCACCGTAAATATACTTTCATTTATTCACTCCACATAAAATGTAATAAATAAATCATATAATACAAAAACCAAATATATACATTTCAACTTTTAACTATTTAAATTTTCAGCTTTTTCCTTTTAAACAAATTTAAAGTGAAACAACACAAAACACTGCAAACCACAACACAATTAAATATAAATTAAAATAAGAAAACAAAAAGAAGATGCACATTCTCTGTCATACAGGCCTGGGATTGTTTTTTGGGAGAGTGTTTTCCTGCTTGGAATTGCATACATAGGATTCACTGCATGAATAAACTTTCTGAATCCTTTATCATCTCCAACTGAAAATAGTTGTGGATGATTACTATACCTTTCTAATGTGACGTTGTTGTCCCTATCGCCCCTCCCCCCTCTGCTCAGCGCAAAGCACAAGGCTCACGTGCAGAGTGAAGCGGGGAAAAGGGAGAGAGAGAGGGGGAGGGAGAGAGAGAGAGAGAGAAAACCCACGGCTCGCGATAAGGAGCCAGTCGCGTCGGTCACTTCAAAGAGTCGGCTCTAAGAGCCGTTTCGTTCGCGACCGACACATCACTATTGTCTGAAGTGAAAATTGAATATGAAACCTTTATTTATTCAAACTGTGAAACACTGGAAATAAAGTTTAAACAGACAGTTACTGATGGATGTTCAGCCCTGTCAGAGCCACGCTTGTCCAGAGTAACCACACTGGCTCCAGTAAAATAATAACATTCAAATAATGACGCAGCAAACAGTGACATCATATCCCAATTATGTTCATTATATCACATTAATGTTTTCTATCGTCTAATTAATATAATATTATACTTTACAAACAGTTTTATTTTTAAATACATTTACATTTTAGTTATATCATAACTGATCATAAGCGATAAATTACATGCATGAATCATAATATAATTATAATTCCTGTAAGTGCGGTGTTTTTCCTGCAGGGGGCGGTAGTTTGCTTGCTGTTATTGTCGTCAGCAACATGAAAATATGAGCAGAAGAAGAAGCTGTAGCGTCAGCAGCTCCACGGGAAAGAAAGAGACTCACACCAGACTCCGTTCAAAAAGTGGCCGATTTAAGGTCAGAGCTGCAGCTTTAATACAAGAACTGTGTGTGTAACTGCAGACGGTTACTGCAGGTTTCAAGGTGGAGGCTCCCACTGCTGTGGGTGGAGTTAAAGGGCAGATCACGTGGTGATTGGCTCCAGCAGAGTCCAGGCCGTGATCAGCAGCTTTTACAGCAGCTGGTTGGTTATTGGGTGAGTGGGTCTAACCTTTGATCTCACTCCGCCTGTTATTCTGAATAACACAGTACATTTGTTTCCAAGGCAACTGACATTAAAACAAAATGCTCCTCTCCTTCCTGCACTGCATGCTGGGAGTGTGAGTGAGTTTGTTTGGGCTGTATTTCAGAAGTTTACACCCTGTGGTTGTTCATTGGTTAAAGGTAAGATAAGTTTATTTCACTGGGTTGTGTAGAATGAGGAGTTTGAGTTAACAGTTCACTGTTGAGCTGGACACCGACCAGAAACATGGCAGAGAACGAATTAACCCAGGAATATACTCATGAGTCAAAGTGACGAGTGTCACTGTAACAGCAGTGATAAGGTCAGCAACATCACCTGTGGGCTTCATCATCGGACCATCGTGCAGCAGTAGCACCGCAGCGGTGCTCGCATTAACAGTTCAGTGTTCATGATGAGATTCTGTTAAGCTTTTAGTCTTTTTTGGAGCCAGTGGGTGTCGAGGGAAATCCCTTGAAGTCGTTAACTCAGTGGGAAATCAGGAAAACTTGAATGAGAATCTTTTGTCTCTATATCAGCTACAGGAGGGAACAGTGGACTCTGGGAAATTTGTTTTTCCAGGAAACTGTTTTTCCTGCTCTTCCACCACTGCAACAAAGCTTCGTTACTCGGTCCTCTGCAGTCCAGGTGGTGCGGTGCTTTTAGCAGCAGGTTCTCCGAGAGGCAGCTGGAGGTTCGTGTGCAAGCCTCCGCTGCAGAAACGTAGTGGCTCTGCAGTGGGGAGTGTGGTCCATGGGTCCACCCTGCTACATTAGTGGGGTGGATGTCCCAGCTACATCACTCCAGCAGCGGCGCTGAGAGTGCTCATATTCCCCTCCCAAATACAGCAGCACAGCAGCCTTTCCAGCTTTCTCATTGGTCAGGCAAAGATGGGATTCATGCTAACTAGGAGAAAGAAAACGAGGTCCACAGATGTTGACCTCCAGGGTCTGACTGCTTATGAAACGGCGGCACATCCACATGTTTCTGTGAAGACTGAACTCTGATGCTGTGCGTCTGTGAACACGTGCAGTAATATTTTCCCCTCTTTCTTTGTGTAACTGTTGACAAAGAGTTGTTTCAAAGGTCAGAGGTCAAAGGTCTCCTCCTCCCTGAGGTCGTCAGTCACAGGTCCACACTGTCGGACTCTCTGGTGTCAGACCACAGACGCCATACCTGAGCGTTTGTCCTTCAGAGAATCAGGTGTGGAGGTCATCTGCTGTCACCTGTCTGCAGGTAGGAGACCCCGCCCACATCAGAGCCATGCTGAGACCTCTGAGGCTCCTCCTCTCAGGCCTGAAAACGCAGCCGAGCCGCTGCTGCTCCAGCTTCGTGTCCAGGATGAGGTAACTCGTTATTTTGCTCGATTACTGATCGATCAGTCGGTCGATTGTTGGGCTGATCAGCTGATCTGTCCTTTCAGGTATGTGAACAGGCTGAAGGAGGACGACGAGGCGTGCGCGGCGGCGCTGAAGGATGGCTCCATCTTCCTCTTCCACCACTTGTCTCCTCTGCTGCGATGCCCCGACGCCAGAACCTTCAGCCCAGCAGCTTTCACCTGCTCAGGTACAGAACCGAGACCGAGCGAGCAGCGCTGAGGACCTGACAGTCCGGTGACATTCCTGCTGAGACGCTTTTTCGTGTTCCAGATGTGCAGTTGGTCCTACAGAGGCTCGGTTCAGACGGGTCGCAGCTGAAGGAGGCAGTTCTGATTGGCTGTTCTGAGCAGAACCAGGCTCAGTTCTGTCTGGATGTCGGTGAGAACGATTGAAATCCAGATCCCTGCATTGTGAGCTCGCCAGCGCCATGTTCCTGACTCTGGAGGTTCTGGTCTCTGTTCAGGAGAACTGGACCAGGCGGCGGTGGAGGAAGCCTCTCAGGGGACCTTCATCGATCTGAGGAAGGCCTTCTTTCTGCTGCCCGCAGCTGAGGCGCCTCTAGTGTCCAAGGTGAGTGACTGCAGCTGACCTCTGATACCCACCTGTTCGGTTCTGGTACCAAATCAGGAACGTTTCAGCACAGTCCCACCAAACCGATACTGATACCGCCCCAGTAGAAGAGTCACACAGTAGTCTGTGTGTCCTGACCCTGCAGGGTCAGGCGCTGCTGCGTTGGCATCAGACCAGCAGGTTCTGCGGCGCTTCGGGCCAGCCGACTCAACGAAACCGAGCAGGCAGCCAGAGGTTCTGCAGCAGCAGCTCCACAGTCTACTACCCGAAGGTAACGTCCTCGGTGCAGAACTGAACCAGAACAGAGCCGGGTCTGACTGTTTGTGTCTACAGATGTCTGCGGTGGCGGTCGCTCTGGTGTCTGATGGGAGTCGGTGTCTGCTGGGCCGCCAGCCATCCTTCCCACGTGGACTCTACAGCGCTCTGGCCGGCTTCTGTGACATGGGTCAGGCTCACCCGTGTGTGTGTGTTTGTGTGTGTGTGTGTGTGTAAAACTCACCTGTGTGTGTGTGTGTGTGTGTGTGTGTGTGTCTGTGTGTGTGTGTGTGTAGAAAGAACTGTGTGTGTGTGTGTGTGTGTGTGTGTGTGTGTGTGTGTGTGTGTGTGTGTGTGTGCGTGTTTGTGTGTGTCTGTGTGTGTGTCTGTGTGTGCGTGCGTGTGTGTGGTCCCAGGTGAGACTCTGGAGGAGGCGCTCTGCAGGGAGGTGGCGGAGGAGGTGGGTCTGGAGATCCAGAGCATCTCCTACAGCTCCTCGCAGCACTGGCCGTTCCCGCACAGCTCCTTCATGCTGGGCTGCCACGCCTTGGTTAGCCCCGCCCACACTCAGGTGAGCTCACAGGTGATTATTGAGGTTGTGTAATCAGGACGAGGAGAAGCGAGCTCGGAGCTCCTCGTACTCAATGATGTAGTGTCATGTGACCTGCTCTCGTTTCCTGTGCAGCTGAGCGTGGACAACTCAGAGCTGGAAGATGCTCGCTGGTTCACCATGGACGAAATCACCCGCGCCCTCCAGGTGAAAGCTCCGCCCAGGAGAGGTGACCCCCCCATCATCTGGCTTCCTCCGAAACACGCCCTCGCCAACCGCCTCATCAGGGAGTGGGTGGAGCAGCAGCGGCAGAGTGAGGGCGGAGAGTGATGGAGGCGGAGCTGCAGTCGGAGTCATCAGATCACACCTGAAACACGGATGTTTCACCTCCGCTCCTGAGATCTCACAGTTCAGAAGTCCATTGAGATTCTCTGATTTTAGCCTCCTTCACAGATCTAACCTGTGACCTTATTGAAAGAAACTTTTAATGTGAAAAACATTCAGTCAGTCACAACAGGAAGCAGCTCGTGGACTCTGACCTGCTGATGTTTCCTCCAAACTGGTTTTAATTTTCAATAAAAATCCCAGAATGGAAAAAAGCTAGTGCTCGGTTTCTTTTGTCTGAGAAAGAATCAGCAAACACCAGCGTTCACTCATCAAACGTCCGATTTAACAAACGAGCTGTCCAAGGGGCATTCGAGGCCGCGGTGTCTCACCTGTCCAGGTTTACCTGAGGGCTCGCAGGACAGACATGAACTCGGGTGGAAGAGAAACATTTTCACTACCCTGCTGCTGCTCAGCTTTTATTTTGGTATTTCCTGTGAAACACTGGAGGGGCGTGATTGATCACTCTTCTTCTGTGGTATCTGTCCTCCGGGCTCACTCAGGATAAAGCAGTTTGTGATGACAGGTTTGCTCTGCTCGTCCTCAGAGTGTGAGGAAGGTCCCAGGATAAATTAATCAGTCTGGTTTGTGAGATTCGTATCAGGACGATAAATAAGTGAGGCCGACCGCCCTGCGTGCAGCTTTGACCCAGAGTGGCAGCACTGCTGAGAGCTAAACATGGTCTTCTCTGTACACAGATTTCTGTTTATCCATCATGTTTCTGATTGGATGGCTGTAAATGGAAATAGAGCAAAACGTTTTTTTATTGAAAGTGTTTATTTGTTTGATTTTTAGATGAAAAAATAAATATTTAGCTACTCGTTGGAGGCACAAACCGTAACGTGTAACCTGATCCAGCCCAGAAACAGGCGGAACGACAGTCAGACATCCGTGAGCGCTGTCCGGATCACGTTAGAAACGGAAGCAGCTTCCTGTTTGAACCGGAAGCCAGAGCAGCTCTTGGTGCAACCCCCCGTGTAGTTCGGGTCTGTGGGTCGGATCAGACTGGACTCTCGGTTCTTTCCTCCGGGCCCTCTGTCCTCTGAGTAACCGCTGAGAGCGGCCCGAGGTCCCGCTGATGGTCGGCAGGGCTCCGCGGCCTGTCAGCCCGCAGGATGAGCTTCTCCGCCGGCCTGCACACACAGCTGGCCGCCGTCATGGAGTCCCTCGTCCACGCTGCAGTGGCGGAGCTGAAGAAGCTGGTGGAGGCCGGAGAGGAGCCTACTGTGCTGGCCAGAGAGAGGACGGAGAGCCGCGAGAGGATGGTGAGGAGCGGGGACTGCCTGGTCGTTTGTTTTAATCAATTTTAAATCATGCTTTTTATTTGTTTGTGTTTCTAATGTCTCTGTAAAGCACTTTGAATCACCTTGTTGTTGAATTGTGCTATACAAATAAACTTGCCTTGCCTTGGTGTGGTGGTGTAACTGGTTGCCCAGTGTAGCTGGTGTGGCGATGTAACTGGTGACCCAGACTAACTGGTGTGATGGTGAAACTGGTGGCCCAGGCTAACTGGTGTGTTGGTGTGACTGGTGGCCCAGGCTAACTGGTGTGTTGGTGTGACTGGTGGCCCAGGCTAACTGGTGTGT